TTTTTTTTTTTTTTTTTTTTTTTTTGAAATTTTTATATCAATGTTGTTTTATGAGTATTTTATATAAAAAAAAAGATATATTTTTAAATATTTTTAAAAATTTAAGGGTATTTTTTAGTCCGACTTGAAAATAGCTCCTTCTACGTCTGAATTGTAGTCTGTAGAAGCATCTTCAGCTACGTACCGGGCACAAGTTCTCTACTGTGCTCAGGTAGTTTCTATCCAAATTAAAAATATTTTTTAAAAATATTTAATATTGGAGGACGAAAGTCCTCGACTTATTTAAGGAATGATCATGTGTTTATAAACAAATAATACTTTTTCATTCGTACCTGACTTTTGGAAGAGCCCAAAGCAAAACCATGAGAGTTTGTGCTCAAATTGGACAACATCATATCACTGTGGAGAGTTCTTAATTTTTATTTTTTTATTTTTTTTATTTTTTTTTTATTTTTTGAGAGAAAAATGATTAATTGACCATAAAAAGTGAAAAAGGGTATGTATGAAAATTTTCCAATGGAAAGCCACTAACAAAGCCGCCGCCGGCCGGGGTGGTGAAACCGCAGGGCTGCGACGCTTCGATTCTTCTGGATTACGAGGGAAGCGAGAGGAGGGCTCCGGCGAGCAAGACGCTGAGAGGGTTCGAAGTGATCGACGACATCAAAGCAGAGCTAGAGAAAAAATGCCCCAAAACAGTTTCTTGCGCAGATATTCTGACCGCCGCCGCCCGAGAGGCCACCATTCTCGTCGGCGGCCCATATTGGACGGTGCCTTATGGTAGACGAGATGGAGTGGATTCCATCGGCAGCGAAACTGGATTGGTACCAATGGGTCTTGAAGGCATCACTGATCTCATCGAACGATACCAATCTCTGGGCTTGAATCTCGTGGATTTGGTCGTTCTTTCAGGTTCAAAACTCTTCAATCACTTAAACTTATGCGTCTAATCTGAGTTTACGAGTAAAGAATACATTTCCATTGGTACAAGGTCTTTTAGAAAGCTAAAAGCAAAATGCAAAGTCACGAGAGCTTATGCTAAAAGTGGACTATATCATACTATTGTAGAGAGTTGTGATTTCTAATATGGTATCAGAGTCATGTCCTTAACTTAGTAATGTCAATAGAATCTTCAAATATCGAACAAAGAAGTTGTGAGTCTGAATCGGAAAGGTGTAGTCAAAAGTAACGGTGTCGAACAAACGGTGTACTTTGTTTGTTCGAGGATTCTAGAGAAACAGTTGAGCCTCGATTAAGGGGAGGTTGTTCGAGGGCTCCATAGGCCTCAAGGGAGGCTCTATAATGTAAGTCAAAAGTGACTCAAGTATCGGGTGTACTTTGTTCGAGGACTCCAAAGGAGTCGAGTTTCGATTGAGGGGAGACTGTTTGAGGGCTTCATAGGCCTCAGGGGAGATTCTATAGTAGAAGACAAAAGTAACCTAAGTGTCGAACAAATAGTGTACTTTGTTCAAAGACTCCAGAGAAGAGTCGAGACTCGATTAACGGGAGGCTGTTCGAGGGCTCTATAGGCCTCAGTGGAGGCTCTATAGTGTACTTTGTTCGAGAGAAGATGATTGTTGATGTTCGTTTGGGACTAAGGAATACATCTTCATTGTTATGATTCATTTTGGGAAAGTCCAAAGTCTAAGTCAAAGTGGACAATATCATACCATTGTAGAGACTCGTGATTTCTAACAAATCAAAATTTCTCAAGAATTTGAATAATTTTTCAGGCGCGCACACCATCGGCAGAGCGTCATGCGGGTCGATACAGAGCAGGCTTTACAACTATAGCGGAACGGGCAAACCAGACCCATCAATGAGCACAAGCTACGTCAATTTCTTGAGAAGAAAATGCCGATGGGCGTCGGATTACGTCGACCTTGACGCCACGACACCGAACAAATTCGACAACGCCTACTACACGAATCTGCCAAAAAAGATGGGTCTTTTGCCGAGCGATTCAGCTCTGTATACCGACCGAAGAACTGCGCCCATCGTCAAGGCTTTGGCGTATCAGCCATCCCTTTTCCGCCTCCAATTTGCTGTGTCCATGGCTAAGCTTGGGAATGTTCAAGTTCTTAATGATCTTTTTGAAGGGGAGATTCGAACCAACTGCAGTTGTAGGAATTATTAATTGATTTTGTCTTGTCGTTTATGATCTTCATGCCTGGATGATTGATTACCTTTGTTGAATATCTTTTTAAGTTTTGTTTTGGTTGTTGGTAATTTGCTGCTCCAATTGATGTGTTTTGTGTTCTTATTTTAAGATTGAAGTGTTCTTTGCCACCAAACTCGAGCTCCAAATGATCCTCGGAGTTGTATTTGGCTACGATTGATTGTGTTTATCACACTTTGTAACCAGGAAAATCAATCTTGCTCGGTAGTGTTATACCGATCAGAAGGATACTTAATCTGTTTCTATTGTTATACGGATCAGTATCATTTTTTTGACTTATGTTATACAATTTGTTATTTTTCTCTCGTTTAATCTTCTCGCGGTTATCAATCCAATTAACCCGAACTTTTGGATTGGTTCAAAAAAATTCCTCAATTCAACCCGATCCGACCCGTGTACACCTACTTTTGACCATTGTTTTGGCTGTGGTGCAGGTCTTACTACCCTAAACTACTACTAATTATCATACTTTGTGTGGTTAGTTCAGTACAAATATGACCTATTTTGACATTCAGATGGGGAGTAGAACAAAATATCTTATCCCTAGCAAACGCGTTTTAAAAACTTTGAGGGGAAGTCCGAGAGAAAAAACCTAAAGAAAACAATATCTACTAGTGGTGGGCTTAAGCTGTTACACTAAATGTTTGTTCGAAAGTTCACCGATTTAGAGGAATAGCATGTTGGTTGCCTTAGTTTCTTTTGGATGTAAAAACCTTCTGAGCAAGGGCCTGAAGATTATTGTTGCTGCAGCAGTCGATACGGGAGTGACCGAAGCAAGGGCACGGATATTTGGTCATATACTGAACCCAATAGGTCTACTAATGCTATCTTCATTGGTATGAAGCCTTTGAAATTATACTCAAAGTGGACAACATCATACCATTGTGGAGAGTCGTAGTTCTTAACACCTATGCCATCATCACGAAGCCGAAGAGTGTGCTGACTGACAACAAGCTCGTCAAAATATCCAAGCGAGAGAAGAAAGCAATAAAGTCACTTGTTATGGGAATCAAGAGTGTAGCCTTGATGATGGGAATTCTAGTCTTTGGATGGACGAGCAAGCTAAGGAGGAATCATGTGTTCTCGAGCAATATGAGTCGTATACCGAGCTTGCCCGAGAGATCCCATTCAGCGCCCATGTTGCTCTCTATGGAAATGGACAAATGATAATGGATAAGAACTAGATCCAATATCGACTAGATTGAGTTTCTATACTCGAGTTATTTTTTTACATTAGTATATACTTCTAAAGTATTCAAATTTAGTCCTTGAAATTTAATTCAGGAACTTAGAACGTTTATACATTCATATTCATATTCATATTCATATTCATATTCATATTCATATTCATACATGGTGTCTTCATCGACTTGAGTAGCACATACATTACAGTAGAAAGAGAGGTGGATGTGGTGCGCGATTACAAGGATAGGAGAGCCAACTGTTGGATATTGATGGGGTAGGAATCAGAGGGTGGACCTCTAAAAGCTCGGTCGGCAAGCACGACGGAGGCAGCCTCCGTTGGGTGATAGGCATCCCAAAACGCATACTCATCTCGGTTAAGGCATGGAAATTGGAGTGGTAAGCACGTTATTTGGCCTCTGTTTAACCCAACTCCACAGCATGCCGTGTCCACCACTCGAAACCCTACCACACATTCAACCATAAAGTCACGAAAACTTATATCAAAGTAAACAATATCATACCATTATAGAGGTTCATTGTTTCTATCACTCACCGTAGTTATCTGGGTTGTTCAAGATGTCACCAAAAATGCCATAGATATTGGTGTACACGAAGTACGAATCCGGGTACTGGCTATTCAACTGAGTTACTAGCGATCTCAACCCTTCGTTAAAATCTCCCAACATCTCATTCACGTTATCCACACACCGCCCTGGAAGCGCCACGCCAGTCGCCCGTTGGTTCGGAATGCAACCCAACGGCCCAATTCCGGCCACCACAAACTTCCTTAGCCCTGCACTTCGTAGTGCCTGTGCATGCATGCAGTTTCAACATTTCTTAGTAAAAATCATACATGGGTTTGTTCTGAAAATTTAAAAAATGAACAATTAAGGCCCGTTTGGAATGACTTTTCATTCTAAACCGACTCGTTAAACGACTCACGAGAAGCTGTCGAGTATAGCTGTTGAGAAGATGGTCGGCGAATTGGTTGGAGGTGTATCTGAATCTAGAAGTATAGAGATTGGGCATCAGGTAGTTGTTTATGTAATCGTTGCTTCCAAACGCCATGAAAGCCATGGATCTCGATAAGTAGCGAGTCAAATTCCAATTGTCCATTGTTTTTCTTAAATCATTCCGAGTGCTTTCGAAGTTCACCACTTGCTGATTTAAACTGTACCTCTCTCCCTGCACTCGCACGTCATAAATTTACGATCAGAACAACTGGGTTGGTCTAAAAAAGACACCAACCCAACCCAACCCAATCCAACCTAACCTAATCCAACCCACGAACACCCCTAATTTAACAAACACAAAGTCCATGAAAACGTACATAGTGTCTACCGGTCTCATCGAGGATGCCAGCAGCCGCCGAAGCGTAATTAACACCTTTAAGGATTCTATCTCCCGAAGTATCGGGATTTGCAAACTCTTGAGCGTTCGGAATTCCAAGGTAATCAACTACAAGTCAAATCACCACCACGAATCAAGAACACATCAATCATTAAGACCCTTAATAGCCATCATTAATCAATAATCAAGTAATTAGATTTACCAATCATATCTATAACAGTTCTTCCATTAGAGAATCTCCCGGTCGGACCACCACGAAAATCAATCCCATAAGGGTAAAAGTTAGCTCTAGCAGCTGAATGAAGAAAATTATTGTTGCCAACATCCACAAGAGAGTCTCCAAACACGAAGATCGCCGGGACCCCATTTTCCGCTAAGGCCATCTGCTTCGAACGTTCGAACAAGACGAGGACGAGGACCAGAGTGGCGGTGGTGGTGGCGGTGGCGGTGGCGGGACGACGTTTCGTCATTGTAAGAGGAAATATTGAGAGAAAAGGGGATTTGTTTGTGGTTTGAAGATGGAGGAGTTTGTGTGGCTTTATAAGAGGGATTAAGGGTAAAGTTGTTTTGATGGCGAATCTCAGCCATTTTGGCTCATGTGCGTCTTGCTTGATCAGTCTTGAATGAGGGAACTTTCATGTATATCGGTTTGGAGACAGGTGTATTTCATGCATCAATCTGTGTTCATGTTTTGTAACTGCCTCTTCTTTCACTAATCACTCTTGAACTTAATCTCTTCCAAATATTACTCGAGATAATTGTCGTTAGACGTGAATTTGAAGGGAAGAACGTGACCGACAAGAGAAATTTGCACGTAAGTGTAGAGTTTGTCAAATTAGGACCAATAACACACTCGATTGTGACAATTAGAGGATTGTGGGTTAGGATGACACAATAACACACTCGATCTAGATGAACACAAAGAACAGGTATGTAGATGGTTCAGTTTACTATGTAAGATGGTTGAGTAAGCTATACAGCAGCAGACTCCAAACCTAACATTGTGTAACACCATGATTTACACGCTATCATGGCCAATCTTATGGAGAAATCAAACCCTAATATACTTTTTTTACTTTTCTGTGTGTCTCTATCAGACATTAGGTGAGGTTTTGTTCATCATCAACCAAGCTTCACTTCATGTTGTCTATATGTATATTTTCTTCGTTCACGACTTTAGCCGACTTTCCTCTACTCCAAGTTAAGTTCTAAGACTCAACCTTGCCTTATTACATCCTCTTGGCTATTAAAAACATAACTCAAGCGCTATCGATTCGAAATTTCATCGGAATATGTTTGGATCTTTTGTTGGTTCAACCTTGAAATGCTCAACGGAAGCTTACCCATGTCATGATACACATATGTGTCGGGGTTTATGGCTTACCAGGAACATAATGATGCAAACTAGTATTTAATTGGGCATTTATAATGCTAACCACGACATAATGAAAAAAAATATATTGTGCCAATTGAGAACTATCGAGTCTCAATAATACTCGCGGTGTAACTCCAAGTATCGAGATATCATCTACCTTCACTACTTGCTTGAACACACATATCTAATACTAACCCATTAGTTAACTTCCTCTTTGCGACCTCCCAAACATCCATTCATCATTGCACTATTGACGTATGAATCTTCCAGATTCCAAGTCATTTACGCACAACACGTTGAAGTCTGACCCTCTAACATAACCTCAGACACATGGCAAATAGTGTCATGTTGGCACATATGTACCACTTGACACTGTCCTTAGAATCTTATTCCTAAATAAAGATGTTTAAGACACTCGTCTTGCGACGATTGCCCATGTCACGACACCCGCATGTTCCTTAGGCTATCAGAATCAAGGTGGTATCCTTCTATACAATATTCAAATTCTAAGACAGGTTTGATTTGGCACTCGTACCTATGCACATCAAAATGAAAGATTATGGAAGAATAGGTCTAGCCATCTAGCATATTTGTATGAATTCGACCCAACATTAGAGTCACTTATTGAGTATTTATAATACTAAGTCTTTCCAAAATGTTTCTTTTTCGAGCAAGAACATTGACATTCCAATCGGTTAACGGTGATTGCTACCGTTAGCTTTCGTAACATGAAGTTTGAGAATTATACTTCAAAAGTTAATAGTCTTAATGATTTTTCTTGAGCCCAACCAAACGTTTAATGTTCATGAAAGGAACTCATAACATACTTTTAACGACCCTACTTTTAAAATCTAAGTTTAAGTTTGTAACGGCCTAGACCCACTGCTAGTAGATATTGTTCTCTTTTGGCTTTCCCTTTCAGGCTTCCTCTCAAAGCTTTAAAACGTATCTTTTAGAGTTACCCAACAGAACCGGTGCTCATCCAGATACTGTCCTATTTGAGCTTTCCCCTTCCGAGCTTCCCCTCAAGGTTTTTGGGCTTTCCCTTCTGATATGAACCACGACCAAGGAATTTTCATACCTCAAGGTCCAATTACAAGGACGAGAGCCAAGAAGCTACAACAAACCTTATACAGTTATATTCAAGCTATGGTGAGCTCATCAAAGGAAATTCTAGAAGACGTTGGAGACCTCACTTATATGTTATGCAAAGTTGAGCTTCAAGACAGAGATGAATTAAATGCACCTTAAGTTGCATTTAATGAACTCAGCTGAATTTATCAAATAGTCCAAGGATGACTAATAAGCACATTTTATTATTTGCATTATGTAATTATAGTTTAACTATTTGTTGTCATATTTAAGCTAGTTTTAAATATAGGAGTTAAGGTTATATTGTAACCCACATAGGTTACTATATTCCACCATTAACTAGCCATTTTAATATGGAGGGTATGGGTATTTCTCATTTACTAGCCCATTTAATTTTGGAGTTATGTATCACATAGGTTAAGGTTGGTAAAGGCTATATAAAGCCTTCTTGTGTTTGATTAGAAATCAGATTTTGGAATTAAGAATAGAATTTCTATTTTAGCTTTGTTGAGAGCTAAACTTTCCTTGCAAATTCTTGTGTTTAGAACTTGCATGTAGAGTCATTCAAGTGGTATTGTTCAAATCTCTTGTGGAGTGATTCGAATCACGAGTTTAGAAACGAGTTTTCTTTACTCTTGATCTTGATCATCAAGGTAATCCGTTCCATACTCTCCCTTGGGTTGATTTTCATATCACCTTCTAGACTTTCCCATTACGTACATGTTCGGGAAAGGTTTCTACATCTTTATAAAAGGTGTGAGATGTCACAAACTTTGACGAAAGGCCCAAATTTCAGCAACAAATTTCAGCAACTTTGATGAGAGTTAATGAAGAGGTGAAAATAGAGTGAGGGGAAGGGAAGTAGCAGAAGGAAAAGATGTATGAACAGCAGAAGTAGAAGTGGAAGAAGAAGGGTTGCTTCAAAGGACACACAAATTTCCAAAACAAAACACTCAACTTTATGCTAAATAAGGGACATTTCTTAAAGGAGGACAAATATTTCCAAAAGTGATTCAAAGAGCTTTTTCCACTTTAGAAAATGAAAGGGATTGACAATAACAACTCATTCAATTCTGACTCAGATTTTGCATACCCTTAACAAAACCAAGCAATAGCCACATTTCTGTAGCACTAAGATGAATTATTACATCAAAATTATCTAACTCCCTCGCTCGACGCCATTCCCGGACCTAGCAACAAACGGGCAAGCCGAGCCGAGCCTGAATTCAGACCAAACTCTTCTTTGTTTGAGCTGCACCCACGAAAGATCTTGTCCTCGTGGGACTTGGGGAGGGAGTCTCAATCGATCTTTTCTAGGGTTTCTCATCACTTTCTAAACTACCACCTAATCTATAGATAAACGTTGTAGATCTGTATTCTCTTGTATTCTCTCGTTCCACCGGTGAGGGAATATTCTAAGAGAAAAAATGTGAGTGAGATAAAACATGTCAGTAGTCATACAAATCAAGCATCTTAATAATTTCGTTTGTACCGTGACAACGTATGCCTGGAATTGTAGGAAGTCGAGAAACAAAGTTGTAGATAAGATTTATGGGTTAGGCTCACGTATATGAATAATACACATTTCAGTTCAACGAGTCTAATTCTAATTGTGAGCACAAACAATAAGGATAACGAGCGTGGAGGCTAAGCACGAGTGTGTAAGTGAATATTGTCCTTCCAACCTCGGCCATTGACAAAACAACTCGAAACGACAGAACCAACATTCAAACTCTCCAATTCATCCTATAAAAGCTTCCTCTTCTTCACAATCTCTTCAACCCCACAACTTCCATTTCCCTCAACATGAGTTTCATAAACTCCTCCATCACTTTCCCATTTAGCTACAATGTTTTGGGTTCGAATCGCTTTCCGGGCTCGACTAGTTCGAACCCGACAGAACCCATGATGGATTCAAGAATTTGGAGCAAACTACCGGAGAGGCTGCTGGATCGCGTCGTGGCGTTCCTCCCTCCACCGGCGTTCTTCCGAGCTCGTTGTGTCTGTAAAAGATGGTACGGCCTTCTCTTCTCCGCCACCTTCCTTGAATTGTATCTCCAACTTCCGCCGCACCGCCGCCATTGGTTCCTTTTCTTCAAGCTCAAGGCAAATAAGACCCAAATTTACAGAAATTGTGGTGGCCACTCCCGCCCCATCTACGAAGGCTACCTCTTCGATCCATACGACGTGGCGTGGCACCGCCTCTCCTTCGCTTTAATCCCGCCGGGATTCTCACCGGTGGCCGCCTCCGGCGGCCTAATCTGCTGGGCACCGGACGGCGGAGGTCCCAAAACCCTAATCCTCTCAAACCCAATTCTAGGGACACTCTCCCAACTTCCCCCAACGACAAGACCACGCCTTTTTCCGTCGATCGGCCTCGCCGTAACGCCATTCTCCGTCGACATAACCATCGCCGGCGATGACTTAATTTCCCCCTACGCCGTGAAAAACCTCACCGCCGAAACGTTCCATATTGACGGCGGCGGGTTCTACTCCATATGGGCCACGTCATCCACACTCCCCCGGCTATGCAGCTTGGAGTCCAGCAGAATGGTCCACGTGGACGGAAGATTCTACTGCATGAACTACAGCCCATTCAGCATCCTAGCGTACGACATGTCGGAGAACAAATGGTGGAAGATCCAAGCGCCGATGCGTCGGTTCCTACGGTCTCCAAATTTGTTGGAGAGCAGAGGAAAGTTGGTGTTAATGGCGGCGGTGGAGAAGAGCAAGCTGAATGTTCCAAAGAGCTTAAGGGTATGGGCCCTACAAGGGTGTGGGATGACGTGGATAGAAATGGAGAGAATGCCACATCAGCTCTACGTGGAGTTTGAGGGGATTGAGAAAGGGAGTGGATTTGATTGCGTGGCACATGGGGAATTCGTGGTGATTATGATAAAAGGGTGTTGGGATAAGGCTGCGCTTTTGTATGACGTGTGCAAGAGGACGTGGCAGTGGATTCCACCGTGTCCCTATATTGTTGGAAGTAATGATGATGACGGGGAAGACCAAGTGGTGTTGCATGGGTTTGCTTATGATCCGAGGTTGGCCACGCCGGTGACTGGACTCATTCATCAGCTCTCTTCTCTTCCATTTCACAATTTCAATGCTAATTAATATCATGGGTTAATCAAAAGTTTTAGCTTAATTTTATGGGGTTTTTAGTTTGTAATGTTTGGTAGATTGGTTATTAATTAATTAGCTGTCGTGTTAGACGGGATGCTTTTATGTTTATTACCATTGTTAAAATGACAACTCACACACGTGATCTAGACGAAGAACATAAAGAATAAACGAGAGAAAGATCAGTGCTAGGTATTGGGCGATGTGTCGTGAGGATGCTGGCCCTTGAAGGTGTGAATTGTGAGATCTCACATCGATTGGAGAGGAAAATTAAGCATTCGTTATAATGGTGTAGAAACCTCTCTCGAGCAGACCACATTTTAAAATCGTGAGATTGACGACAATATCTAATGGGTCAAAGCGGACAATATCGACCGGCGGTGGGTTTGGACTATTATAGTATAGAGATGTGGTTCCCGATGATATGGAAACCCTAGAGATCTAAGATCTCTTGTATGTTTAAATATGTAAACCCCTAGTTCACAAATGCTAAAATCCCGTATGATTTGAATTAGTTTGTTGATCAAATATCTCAAGATAAGAACACTTGTTTAACTTAGCTATGTTAATAGAATTCTCAAATGTCGAACAAAGAGTTGTGAGTCTCGAAGAGGGCTCCATAGGCGACCTCAAGGGTGACTCTATGATGTACTTTGTTCGAGGGGAGGATTATTGTTGGGACGGAGTCCCACATTGAGTAATTTAGGAAACAATCATGCATTTATAAGTAATGTTTGGTTTATAAGTAAAAAATATATCTCCATGGTACGAGACCTTTTGGGGAAGCTCAAAGCCAAGCCGTGAGAGCTTATGTTCAAAGTGGACAATATTATACAATTGTAGAGGGTCATGATTCCTAATATGGTATTAGAGTCATGCCGTTAACTTATTTATGTCAATAGAATCCTTATATACTTTGTTCAAGGGCTCGAGTCGAGCCTCGAATGAAGTTAAAAGTTCACATTTCTCTCTCTTTGAAAAAGTACCGTTCATCTAGAACATCTCAAATAATTATTAAAAGAAAAAACACAGAAGGCTAAATTTGTAATTTTAGAATATCTGCAAGTAAATAGACAAAGCAGTAAGTTGGGGTCAGAGTCGCCAGAACGCATTAACTTCCAAACTACTCCGCGCTGCTCAGTGCTTCACTCCAATGCCTTTTGCTTGATTCTTAATGACCACCACCTCTTCGAAATCTGGTCGATCTCATCGTCCGAAATGCTGAAATTCATATACATGGAGACGCCGAGAAGAAAACGGTGAATCTTCAAAGTCTACGCCCTGTCGGCTGGTAAGTCTTTTAATGTTTTCGTCGTTAATTTGATCCTCCAAATCTCGCTACATCTGTCTTTGATGCATTCAAACTGAGCGTTCCGAGATATTTTGATTTTGGTTCTAATCTTGTTCGTGGATGTTTTGATTGTTTTTTCCTGGAGTATGTAAATTAGACGTTAATTTTAGCTATTTTAGGTGAAATTATTTGTTCGAATCACTTCGGAATATCGATTTTTGTGCTTTCTGTGCTAATTAGGTCTGATGAAAGTGTTTTTTTTCTTCTTGTGCGATCTCGTTATAGTACGGATTCTCTTTCTGGCTAACCTTTGGAGTTTTTGTGCTTAGGGTTTAGGGTAATGGCTCCGACGGAGTTGAAACCGCTTTTTTTGCAATTTCTTCTGCTTCTGATGTTGATTTGGGTGTCCAGAATAGGCGCCTCGGATACTGTAAGAAACTTGAGTTCTACTCGTTTTTATCTTCTTTGCTGCTTCACTTTGTATTGTGGTTTTGGCTTTTTCATTGGAATCAATTAAATGCAGTGCCCTGGTTTTGGGAAATTATGTCATGATGTTTCCTTTGGATGTGTAGATGTTCAACGAGTCAGGGCATTCGGTTGTTTCCAGTAATGAAAACCCAAAAGGTATACAGTTAGCTTTTAGAATTGCTATTTTGCCTCCAAGAGTTTGGTGAATTGAAGGAAGAAAAAAGTTTTGGGGCTTTTTCCGATTACGTCGTTAATCTGTGAAAAAAAGTTGTTCCTGTTTTCTGAATATCAAAGACTTTTCTCTGTTAGAACTCTTCGTTCATAGTTAAGTCGGATTCTTCATCTGCTTGCTGATTATTGTGTGACATGTCCTATTTAGATTTCGAGTCTTACTCTTTTCTTCCTTGTATTCAAGCATACTGCATCCATAAAAGAAATTGTTTCGATAATCTGTTTCTCATTGTTATACTATGGTTATAATATGGCATCCTCATATTGCATTCGTCTCTGTGGCTAGGTTGGTGCCCTCATGGTTGGTTTATTAGCCCAAACAAGACTAAGTGCTACGGTTTCATGTCGGTTCCTAAATCATGGAATGAATCAGAGAGCCAATGTAACGAGTATGGCGGGAACTTAGCAGCACTGATAACATATCAAGAGTTTAGCTTTGCGCAAAATCTGTGTAATGGAACTCTTGGTGGCTGTTGGGTTGGTGGCAGAGCGTTCAACTCCTCGAATGATTTTGTTTGGAAGTGGTCAGATAATGTTTCAAAATGGAACGATTCCATGTTTCCCAGCACAGCTTTGCAATCTAATTGCAAAAATGTCTCGTGCCACGCGAATGATTCAGTAGAAACATGTACTTTGATATCTGGTGGATTGGCAACACCGTTACTTAAGGATGAGAAATGCAACAGTTCTCACCCTTACATATGCATGATAGATCTAGGTATGGCATCATCTTATTAGATCTTCTGGTCATATTATCCGTCATGTTTTACCTTTCCATTCAATAGAATGAATCTAACATGTTTGTTGATTCCATTTCCTCGTTCTTTGGTGTTTTTGTCGTTGAGAGATGTCGTAATCCACACTGAAGTTATGTTCTTTTCTTTGTATCAGATGGAAGATGCCATCGCATGCACTGCCACAAGGAGTATCTAGTCATACTAGCTGTTGTGAGTGGGTTGATAGTTTGCACGACGTTAGCTGTGGTGGTTTGGCTTCTTGCCTACAAGAGGAGCAAAAAGCGGAGAAGGTCTCGAAAGCCATCGAATACTGCAGCTTCTGCATTGGTACCACCTTCATGGAAGGTGTTTACCAAAGAAGAGCTAAGATCGATTACTAAAAACTTCAGTGAGGGAAACCGTCTTCTCGGAGACACGAAAACAGGTGGTACATACAGTGGCCTTTTACCTGATGGTTCAAGAGTTGCAATTAAAAGGTTAAAGAAGTCCAGCTTTCAGAGGAAAAAGGAGTTCCATTCTGAAATTGCAAGAGTTGCTAAACTTCGTCATCCGAATTTGGTTGCCCTGAAAGGATGCTGCTATGACCACGGTGACCGCTACATTGTTTATGAATTCATTGTTAATGGTCCCTTAGATAGATGGCTTTACCATGTCCCAAGAGGTGGTCGAAGCTTAGATTGGACCATGCGAATGAAAGTCGCCACGACTCTTGCCCACGGGATTGCGTATGTACAAGTTTTCAATTTATGTCCTTCCCACGGGTTATTACTTTGATTAATAACTACTCATCTTTCATGTTTTCTATACAGGTTCCTACACGACAAGGTCAAGCCACACGTGGTACATCGTGATATCCGAGCCAGTAATGTACTTCTCGATGAAGATTTTGGCGCACATCTGATGGGAGTTGGCCTGTCGAAGTTGGTTGCATATGAAGTGATGCATGAGAGGACTGTGATGGCAGGGGGAACCTATGGTTACCTTGCTCCTGAATTTGTCTACAGAAATGAGCTAACGACAAAGAGCGATGTCTATAGTTTTGGGGTGCTGTTGCTTGAAATTGTGACGGGTCGAAGGCCTGCACAGGCAGTTGATTCTGTTGGTTGGCAGAGCATTTTCGAATGGGCAACGCCCCTCGTGCAGGCTCACCGTTACCTAGATCTATTGGATCCTCATATCACAGCCACATCTACTTCTGAAATTCCGGAGGCTGGTGTTGTTCAGAAGGTGGTGGATCTTGTGTATGCTTGCACACAGCACGTCCCATCCATGCGCCCTAGAATGTCGCATGTTGTTCATCAGTTGCAACAATTGGCACCCTCACCTCTCACTATGAAGTAAAGCCATCCATCTGATTTCAAGTTTCCTATTGCAAAACTCCAACTTGGAAAGAAGCCAGTTAGTTTAGGACAGGACCCCTAGTAGTTAGCTATATTTAACCCAATTTCTGAGTAGTATAGGGCATGTTCAGAAGTGTACGAGTCAAAATCGTGTTCGGTAATGCCTCTTAACCCTAGTCCCCCGCGTCCACAATGGCACGACCGCACTCCACTTGGTCAAACTGTTGTGCAGTTTGATCTGTAATGGTGTAATAAACACAATTATTTAACATAGATTAACAACTTCTATTAAGCAGAATGAACAAAGATGGATTGTACAATTGAATTATCATGTTGCATTTATACTAGGTTACTAGTTTTGCGTACAGGGAACAGAGGTTATAAAATTACAGATGGTTTTCTAGAAATTCCAAGACTGCTAAACCTGCAGCCCAAATGTCGTCATCCAATACATGCTCGGCAGGAGAGTGACTTACGCCTCCACGACATCGGACAAACAACATTCCCACCTGCCAATTCTCTCGTTATCGTCCTCATCATCATATAATCATGTCGATGCAAGAATTATGGTACATAAGTTGAGAACAAACCTTTGTCAAATAAGACATAGCCATTGCATCATGCCCTGCTCCACTCATTAATATAGGTACTTCCTCTTGAATGTCGCCTACCATTTTTTTGAGGGCCGCAGAAGCTGCAGATTTCAGCTGCGAGCTCAGCTCCGAATCACTGATTACAGCATTTGCATCATGCTGGAAGGAATGGACAGAGCAGATTATAGTTGTGTAATGGAATTCAATGATAAATGTGAACCAAGGACTTGATGGAAGATACACACCTTACGTTCAATATTGCACGAAACGGATCGGCTACTGCAAATTTTATGTACCTGATTAGAGAATTCATAAATTACAGCTTCTCGTCCTATGTCATCGATGGTACGTAAATCCACAGTGAAGGTCACCTATAACGTGCCGAACATTAAAAATTGCTTGGTAAAAAGTAAGGTCTGCAGTGCCTCTATATCAAATTCTTACCTGGCCAGGAATGACATTACTTGCACTGGGCCATGTTGATATCTCTCCAACCGTACAGACAAGAGATGTGGAAAGTGACTTCAAGGTAAAATCACTGCAATGACCATCAAAAGATAAGTAGCTCTCTGGTTGCTTACAGAGCTTTTCCAATTGTACAATCAATTCAGCTGAAGCTGCCATGGGATCCTGGCGCAAAGGCATTGGAACTGTTCCTGCATGCCCCTGAGAACCTCTCACTGTAACCTGCAATCTTTGTGCATGGATCGCTCTATCAAACGAAATCCACATTCTAAAATAAATCCATTCTAGTTCATCTTTTCATGACACAAGAGAGCAAAATTTTCTTCCTCTCAGTTATTATAAATAAATTACCAACATACCAACATATGAAATTCATCACCAATAATACTCTAAATGTTAAACATAAATTATATTACCACCAAGCACCTCACTACGGAATGTAGCATGGCTACTACTTAAGAATAGGGGAAATAGTAGGTAAATTAACCACGATATAATATATCTTGTAACTTTTTAGGATTAGGTAGTCGAATACTGCAGCTTTTCGACCATGGCATATAACGTATCTTGGGTTAAAGTACTACTTCAAGTTCCACTTTAGGAGTATGAATCCAATCATAGACATGTTTATCAACCATGATATATAACAAGCTCGAACTCAGCATGACCATTAATATTTCAAAATGTTATGATCCTGGCCTTTAGTGTAAGGAAAGCACTTCAAATGAAGGATTACCGCAATTTTTTAACTAAATTAGTTATTAAGCAAGTATATTTCTCAGTCTCCTTCAGATCGTTTAACTCATGTACCTTTAGTCGTGACTGCCCAGCAATGCCCCTAACCACTCCAAGAGGAAAACCAGTCCATTCAAGTACAGGTCCTTGTTCGATATGAACCTGAGGTCAAAGTAAACGATAATGTTCTCAAAATAGTCGAAAAGTATTGATTATCGTACATAAAGTTCTAAAAATAAGTTTTAAGAGCAGAACAAATACTACAAATTTCAGAAGGGCCCTCAGAGTCATACCTCAACATATCCCCATACAGACTTGCGGTCATACTTGAGTTGCAACAAGTTCTCCTCTGTTATCTCCACTCCACTCTCCGTAATAACATCTTTTATTGACATACCACTGATAAAGGATTATTTATTAATATGCAAGTAATAATGAATGAAAAGGATCCATCCAGAGAATTTGGAGTTATGCAACAAACCTTTTATCTGATATTTCCAAAGACGAAACTGGTAAAATACCAGCAATAGCAGCACTTCCCAAGAAGGTTGATTGAAACCTCACACCCTCTTCATCACTGAAGGCAATCACCTGCACAATTTTGTGGTTGATTATAGCCAAATGTGAGAAGGTAGAAAATGTTGTCATGTATCAGGACCAATGATGTCCCTAATGTGTAGTGAGAGTTCCATTTGATAGCCTATCAAACAGTTTCCCAAATTTAAGGTACTTTTTTCTTACAACCTACTCAAATGGAATACATTTTAGAAAAAATTTCCCCAGATGATAACAATTGGAGGAAGTTGAGATGAGAAACAAGTCAATTATTTCTTCTAAATTCACTATGGTTGATGAGAAAGCAAAATATCCCAAACCTCAATTGGCCTCTTTAATTCTTCTAACTTCCCACTCATATAGAAAACTTTCAAAGCAGAGATAGCAGATATGATGCCTAATGCGCCATCAAATTTTCCAGCATCAACAACAGTATCCTACGAGGAAAAGAAGAGATTTCAAATCTCAGCTTGATGTGTAACATAAATTCTTGCCTCTGCTTAGGGGAAGTCAAATAATCACCAAGTGAGAACCAATCAGCAAAGCTTCAGCACTTGCATTCCTTCCCTCAGCTCGACCATGTAGATTTCCCATACAGTCCACCCACCTGAAAACGTTCATGAACATGAGTCAAGAACAATATTAAAACTCATTCAAGGTGAGGAAATGTAGAAATCTAACGTTCTTAATCCAGAATCCTCCATCCATTTTTTAAGAAGAAATCTTGCTTTGATAGAAGCTGGACTCAAGAACGTCCTCTCAAGATAGCGAGCAGCATCACTTACCTGATAATTGGGGACAGTTGTAAGATAACTCCGAGTTACCAACTGGAAATAATTATAACATAAACACAGAAAACTCATCATTGAACAGTTTTAAGTTGGATTAGAACTCAACCTCTGGAATTCAGCAGGTTTATCTGGGGGACGGGGAGGACAACTATTCATAAACTAAGCTACAATATATGGAGCATGGCATAGAATGGAGTTTGATATTAAATTTGCAATAATACGCCATCCAAAATTACAATAAGGTTTCTAAGCAATGAAGATATATAAAATTGCCAGAAAAAATTATAAGCAAATCAAGGGAATGTTTCAAACAAACCAAAGAATCAACCTAATAAATATTTCTCAAGAATCATTACTTTCTCAAATTATCAATTTAGGGGTCAACACAAGTTATGGACATTTTTATAATATGAATTGAAAACAACAGTACAATCGGATACAAGAAACGAAGATATGCATTCAAATAGTCCAATTATTCACTAAATTTAATAATCACCAAACAATTGTAGCTAGCAGAGAGAGATGGAAAGAGAGAGGTCATGGTCCACTACCTTCCCTAGCTCGTTCAATCTTCCTACTGCTTCGTCTTTAAGAATTTCCACAAACAAATCATCCCTTCTGTTCTTTGAATCTTCGGCTACATCTCCTGAAAATTGTGAATAATATTTTCAATTTTCAGTGCTCGAGATTCAACCGTTCGGTGACATGACAAATAATTTCACAAGGCTATGACAACTAGAATATCATCATAAAAGCTGATAAGACATGGCTATGACGACTTTAATGAGCATGATACAATATTTATTACGATTTCATCAATGATAGATAACTCGAAGGAGAAGAATCAGATCTGTCAACTCCTCCGAGTAAACACAAATCAGCAAGAAACAAGAACAAATGATTTTGCAAAGCTCAATAACAGTGAGTGAAATTCCGTCATCTACGTTATCCATAAAAGTACAAACGAGTGGTCCGTATTCATTTCGATTCAATTTCATGTATTCTCACACAGAAACATCCATTCTCCATTTCGAAGCTGTAAAGAGAAACACATCAAGATGAAGCCAGAAAGATAGATAATCAAATATACCAGTAAATGCGTAAGCGGTGGGAGGAGATGAAAACAGAAGGAAAAAGAGCAGGTAGCTGAAGAAGAAGGAGAGAGAAGAATGCTGGTGATGATGATGATGATGATCCTTGATGAGAAAAGCTGCCATGGAATCGGTGTTAGCATAGGCAATGGCCATAGCCAGCGGCTGCACAGAATCGGAGAAGAAGCGGCAGCCGGAGAGCTACGGCGGAGGCGGGAAGCAAAGCCTGTTGGATTTAGGAATTTCCCTTTTGTGTGGTGCCGAATACAGAAATTATTTATTATAATATTAACCATTTTTTTTTAAATCAAATAGAAATTCAGAAAGCCTAATTTAAAGCTTAAATTCAGCCGCCATTACTTAATATTCTATTTTCATCAATAAATATTTTAATAATTCCTTCTCTAATATAAATTAATTAAATATTATGCTAAATTAATAAAAAATAGTTTCAATAATACTTAAATAATAATAAAATAATAAATCAAATAAAATATTATCGTTAATATTTTATTTCAAAAATACTCTTAAACTTTTAATATTCATTAAATACTTGCCGCTTAACATTAATATTTATTTAAAAAATAGCTATGAAATCTAAAAATAGTATTAGATTATCAATGTACTTTATGACTGCTCCAGCCGATGTTATGTACTCTGCTTCTCTAGTTGACAATGATATTGTTGGTTGTCTTTTGTTACACCAATAAATTGTTCTCGAACCAAGATTGAACACATACTCGGTAGTTGACCTTCGAATATCGTGATATTGTTTTAACATATCTCAAGGTACGTCGGGCGGTATCTAAATGAGGCTTGTTTGACGTTACTTTTTAATAATCTTTTTAAAAAATTATACATAAATACAACTTATTATTGAGCTAATTTCAGTTTTATTGCATTAAATCCATATAATTGAGTGTTTTATTTTAAAGAAAATGACAAACGAAATTGGGTAAAGGAGCCAAACTGATTTGGCTGGTTCTGTCACGTGACATCACGTGCACCATGACTATTAATAGTGATTAAAAACTTGATTTTGGCATATACCCATAAGCCTAAACCATAATTATAATATAATATTTTTTTAGCTTAAAAGCATATAAGCTAAACCGTTTGGTGTCCGATTCCGATATCATTTGTAACGGTTCGAGCCTAATGCTAATAGATATTATCTACTTTGATCTGTTATGTATCCTTGTCAATCTCACAATTTTAAAAAGTGTCTATTAAAGAGAGATTTTCACATTTTTGTAGGAATGCTTCGTTCACCTCTCTAACTGATTATGATCTTACAGATTAATTCTATTAATTCTTTATATAAAAAAATCTTTAAAAAATGAGAAAGTAAAATAAAAGTGTGCAATAAATACGTATTTTTAAAATAAGAAAATACAGTTTTTATGTACTAGGATGATTATTTAAAAGTTAATTGTTTAATTATTATTATAAAATTGTTGGATTTAAAAAATAAAATTAATAAATAGTCAAGCCGTCAGTGTCAACCATTTTCAAAAAGAAAAAAAAAATTATATTTTATAGTAAGAATTTAGAAACAAGATCTCCCACTAATACATAATAATTATAATAAATTTAGGTTAAATTAATAAAATATTCTTAAATTTTATATTTTATCTACTATCTATAATATTAAATTTAAAAAAAAAAACTTAAAGATATTTTTATGATTAACTTTCGACTTCAAAAATATCCTTAAATATTTAATATTGATTTAAAAAATATTTTTAATGTTAATTTTGAAAGTGGATGGATATTTTGATATTTTTTGAATTTTTTTTAATTAAAGATATTTTTTATATTTTAAAAATAATTAAATATATTAATTAAACTTTTGAACATTTATTACTAATTTAGCTGTCAAATCTATAAAATTGAAAATATCTGTATTTATTATTAAATAAAAATTGGAGGGTAAATAAACAAATAAATAATGGTCAAAGTTGTAAGGCGAAGAAGGCAAATTGGAATTTGAATGCTTTTGTTTAATTTTTGTCACCGCTACTAAATAATTAAAATATTAGACGTAAATTAATAATAGCGCGGAAATCTCTTCTTAGCAGATACGTTTTAAGATTTTTGTGGAGTAGCTCGTAAAGAAAAGTCTAAAAGGAACAATATCTGCTAACGGTTAATACTTAGCCAGTGAAGTCGGACTAGTTCGACACACAACCATCGTGATAAAAGATGATAATTGATAAAATAAAAAGTTCATAAAATTTTACACGTCAATCAAATACATGCACGGTAGAGTCCTCTCCTAAATTCTTCATTAGAATCGCACACAACCCCAACATCGATGCTCACTTGAAACCCATGCGAATTCGAGTGGAGGAACGTTTTTCAATCACTCAATCAACTACAACAAAGTCGCTCTCGACGATGATGGAAATTCAATGATCGCATAACATAGACGTGCATGAAAGACACATCAAATAAGATATAGACATTTTAACCACTGAACTATAATACCTTAATCAATACAAAATTATGTATATTTTTCAATCGCTCAATGATCGCATAACACGCTTGTATTCCTTGTAACATGGACAGATTACTTCGACCTGGTTACGTTAGTTACTCGTCGTTTCTAAAAACGAAGACTATCACCATAGACCAACATACTTGCATCCCCTACGACATGGTCATGTTAATTACACCTCGTTTCTAAGAACGAAGACTGTCCCTATAGACCAACACGCCCGCATCCCACGTTACTTACTCCTTGCTTCTAAGGGCGAAGATTATCCCCACAAACCAATACAACTTCTTTCAACATGTTTTGTCCTTACAAACATACATTTTAGAAAAATTTTCAGGAAATCACCCAGTATAAAATTTGTGATGTCCCACATTGGTTGGGGAGGAGAACAAATCACCTTGTATAAGGGTGTGGAAACCTTCCCCTAGCATACGTTTTAAAGCCTTGAGGGGAAGCCCGAAAGGGAAAGCCCAAAGAGGACTGTATCTGCTAGCGGTAGATCTGGGTCGTTACAAATGGTATCAGAGTCAGTCACCGGACGATGTGCCGGCCTTCTCGTTGTTCCCCGAAGGGGTGTAGACACGAGGCGGTGGGCCAGTAAGAACGCTGGGCCCCAAAGGGGATGGATTTGGGGGCGGTCCCACATCGATTGGATAAAGGAACGAGTGCCAGCGAGAACGCTGGGCCCCGAAGCTGGGTGGATTGTGACCTCCCACATTGGTTAGGGAGGAGAACAAATCACCATTTACAAGGGTGTGTACGCATTTTAAAGCCTTGAGGGGAAGCCCGAAAGGGAAAGCTCAAAGAGGACAATATCTGCTAGCGGTGTGGCCCCTAGCAGCAGACGCATTTTAAAGCCTTGAGGGTACCTTAACTGTTATGGTATGCTTAGATTGACGACGATATGGAAAGATTTCGGAAAAAAAAAAACAAAATATGCTAATTTCAACTTTAAAAACATGAAAACCACCCTTAAATAATAAAATTTGTGTTAGAGATTTGAATTTTTATGAACTAAATAAATAATAATATTTAATTGAAATCAACAACCCTATCCAACCTGACCAATATCTCGGGCCTCCATCTTGGGCTTCAGCCCATGCAAATTAACAACCCACCCAACCTGACCCACATCACTCAACAAAACCTGGTTGTTGTTGTCTTTATTCGAGACTCGATCATGCGTTTGAATTGTTCGCAAAGTTCAATGTTCATACAATTGACTGGTTCATCGAATTAGAACCGCTACTACACAATCGTTGTCCTACTTCCACAAGAGTGGTCAACGATTGTGACAAGGTAGTTGAATTTGGTTTGGTTCATTATTTAACAAGGATTACTCGAGTAGAAAAAATTTACGATCGAAACAAATGAGTTGGGTCTAAAAAAATGTGTTTCGGAGATTGCATTATCCCTCTCGATCACACCATGACACACGTCTATCTTGACCCTCATGTAACTAAATTGGCGCTACAACTGAAGGTTGCAACCATCATCAAGTGTTTTACAAATATATATGTTTTTTAAAATTAACAATAAATTCGAATTTGTGTGATTCAACCCAATCTAGTAATTACATAAAGAACGTTACATAAATTCGAATTTGTAGCATAGTTGACGTTCGATTTACTACTGATCAATAGATACCAACTAACTAATATTGTTCAAATTAAAAAAGATGGAATTTGAACTAAGAGGTCCGACCAGGAAACAAGTGATTTCGGGAAGAGAAAATTTCCAATGAAGTAGTGAAACACGTAAAGATCGAAAAGAACACCGATAACAAGACCGCTATGTTGAATTAGATCGACACTAATATTATAAGACGATTAAGGTAAAATGTAAATAAAAAATATGAAACAAGACAACAACGTACGTAGAGACATCTATAAATTGATAAAAATACAATATGTTGTGTTTGTTTGTGTTATTTTAATGGTAAGGTACGTTTGATTTGAAGCTGAAAAAGGGATGAACAATGGGCGATGGACATGCATGAAAATAGTGAAAAGTCAGTGAAAAAACAAAACTGAGAGAGGGGGGCGGCACCTGCCATGGCTTTGTATGCCAGTTCAAACATGGTGCACACCCTGCACTGCACAAGGATATGTATCAAACCCAAACCCAAACCGAACATTTTGGACCATTTTAGCCTTTGTGCGTGTGGACATGATTTTGGTGAATGGTCGTATAGTTCCGTATTGATACAACATGAAACGGTAAAAACTTATCTAAGATGAAAGCATGTAAAAAAGGTTAGGAACTGGCCATGGATAACACGTCATGGATAAGCATGACTAAAACAACCAGATAACACGACTTAGATAAGTATGATCGTTACACAGTGGAAAAGGATATGTATGAAACACAAAGCCAATGTTTTGGAAAACGTGAACGAGTAAATACATTTGATAGAATTGAAGAAAACAACGTATATGACTCTAACATATAATTCAGAACACTCAAAATTGAAGACTAGTTGCATCTTCCTATAGAAGAGTATTTTAACCCTAGTGGGTGTAGACATGATTTTGGTGAACGATCATACACCCTATATTGACACAACATGAAACGGTAAAGGTCTATCTAAGATAAAAGCATGTAAAAGGGTTTGGAACAGACATGCAGCCATGGGCAATACGTCATGATTAATCATAACCAGGACATCCGACATGCGACCATAGACAACCAGACCGTAACGCAATGGAGAAAACCCAAAGCCAATTGTTTAGAAAACATGAGCGAGTAAATACATTTGAAAGGATTGAAAAAA